TTCTCTTTTTAATTGAGTGAAGAAATGAGGACACGAGTCTTTTCCAAGAATTAAAAATGAGAAAAAGAACATTCATTCGAACAGGCAGTTAGGACAGACTTTCAGTGAGCACTGACGGGAGCGGGGGCGGCCCAGGCCAGGACTGTGTCCTCTCTAGAAATGGTCGCAAACCCCACTTTGCTATGCCTCTCTTAAGAGCTAGTTGATAAAAATTATGTCTTGTGAAATCGGCAAATAGTCTGCAAAGTGAAATAAGAACAGAAATTAACAGATTAAACTGAAATGAGAAGTTCAGAGCAGGGAAAAGAGAGGAAGCAGGGGAGATCCCTGATCACAACCCATAATAATTCAAGACGGGATCCTGAGCCGAATTCCGGGCTGGGGTGGACACCTGGATGTGGGAAGCAGGAGCTGTTCCCAGAGTGGCTGGTCACCATCCAGCCTTTCTAGAAAAGAACTACTCCCCACTCTAAAAACTATCCAGTGTCTAGCCTTCTCTAGGAACATTACATTTATTCTCACAGAATTCTGAAGATGGGCACAGCCAGGTGCCACTTGCCACCAGCTGTGTGGCCCAGGAAGGTCCCTGCAGCCCCATGTCACATGGCCAGAATGAGGCTCTACTAAGAGTGCTATCTGCACCCCCAGCCAGATGAGATGGATGTTCATAGAAAGGGTAAATCCAGGTGGAAAGGAGGACCGTTTATAAAGGGGATCAGACTGCATCTTCCTGAAAGGGGACCCAGGCTACCTGGTTTATGAGTGAGAACAGCCAGGATGAAGAGTCTCGGAGCTCTCTAGGACCTGGGCGTGCTTTCATTTCTCCCAGTTAGCTGTCCTGCATGGCCCTGCTAGGGGGACTCAGAAAGGGGCTGGGAGAGGTTTGGGATCCACGCACAGCATGAGGGGGGCCGGAGGTGGGAAGTGGGTCAAGTGGGCATACAGTGAGGACACTGAAAAGAAAGACCACAAAGAAAACATCAGGACAGTTGGGAGGTGACATGACTGCTGTGCGATGTCACGGCGTCACAGGATCCCCAGGGTGTGGCAGGGGTCCGCAGAATCTACCTGATGGGGATGAGGAGAGGGCAGAGGGCTGGGCTGCCCCATTTCTGGGTCTCCCTTCTGTACCCCAGCCGCCTTGGCCAGATCCACCAGAAACCTTCCTTGTTGGCATGAGGTGACAGATGGAAGTCAGGGCATCCCAAAGCTTCTCTGTAGCCCTGGCCCTGAGGCTGTGACTCCAGCAGGCATCAAGTTTGGCTCTAGAGGGGCTCAGCTACTCCTTGCACTCTTGACTGGAACAACACATGGACCTACCTAGGCTTTGTGTCTGGAAACACTTGGCTACTTGGGAGGCATCTGGGATAAGCACAGACACAACACTCCATAAGAAGCATCTCCTTTGGGAGGGGGTCAGGAGGGGAATAGACTCCGACCCCAGCTTGGCTCCTCAGATGAGTGGGGTGGGCAGTCCCAGCCACGGGGCCACCCTTCCCAGTTCAGGGCCACTCCACTCTTACCCTTTCTGAGAGCAGGCAGCCTTACTCTTGTGGCCACTGGTGGCCCCTTTCTGGCCATTAGTTAAAAGAACCAAGAGGCTTCCATAATGAGTGGGAAGGTGGGAAGGATGGAAAAACAAAAGTTTGATGGTTGAGAGAGAACAGGGCAGCTAACTCCCAAAGGTCAGGAAGCTGCTGTCTGTACACTGTAATGCCTGATTTCTGTCCCATTCAAACCCAGCTGATTGTATTAAGCTGCAGGGGCTGTGGCCATGACAGATGGGTCCTGAGCATAAACACTCCAACCCCACTCTATCCTCCTTCCCCCAGCTCAACCCTCCCAATTCCCAAAGCCTTGGCTTTGGTGAAGGGCTGGCACCCAGGGGACCCTATCTCACTCTGCCCAGCCTCAATTTGGTCACTGCTGCATCTGTCTGCCTGGGGCAGGCCCAGGGATGCAGGCCATGGAGGCAGAGTTGTACTCTGAGCCAACTCATGGGGGCCCTGGGGCAGGCCCTCTGATGAGACAGGTGCCTTAGCATGGGATCCACATTGATGCCCTCCCCCAATTATTCTATGTTAAGATCCCTCAATTCTAACCTCCTGGGACTAGCATCACACTCGGGGCAATGGTAGCCTGATTAAGGAGGGGAGCAGGTTGTGCAGGCTGAGTGCACAGATCAGTGCTGCACTTGGAGGCCCGAGATGTGTGAGCCTTTGTGCCTGTCATCCCCTGGAGGGGAAGCCAGGGGAGGAAGTGAGAGGAAAAGCTCCCCTTGAACCTGCCACCAGCTTCTGGGCTGAGCAGGACAGGCAGAGAATGAAGCACAGGGGTGCTGGCCCCACGGGTCTCTCCGGGGAGGAGTGGTGTGCATGTTTAAGTGCATGGACCATGCATCCCCCAATAACAGCCCTCTTCCTTTAAGCACTGGAACAGTACCGGCCCATAAGAAATTTCCGCAGTGACCGTTCTACATTCTGTGCTGGCAATAGCCACTTGCCATACAGGGCTACTGAGTCACTGAAATGCGGCCAGTGTTTTTAAAGGAACTGAAATTTTCCTTTTACTTCTTCTTCTATTATTATTTTTGAGACAGAGTCTCACTCTGTCATCTAGGTTGGAGGATAGTGGTACAATCTTGGCTCACTGCAACCTCTGCCTCCTGGGTTCAAGTGATTCTCTTGCCTCAGCCTCCTAAGTAGCTGGGATTATAGACGCCTGGCACCACGCCTGGCTCGTTTTTATATTTCTAGTAGAGATGGGGTTTCGCCATGTTGGCCAGGTGGGTATCGAACTCCTGACCTCAAGTGATCCTCCTACCTCGGCCTCCCAAAGTGCTGGGATTACAAGTGTTGCCAACTTTAATTTAAACCTAAGTTTTAGTAGCTACTTGTGGCTAGTGTTATTGTACCAGACAAATGGACGCTAGGGAGATAGCGGAAGGTGGCGGTTAAGGCCCAGACTGCCTGGTCCAAATGCAGGTCCTGCCCCTTGCATACTGTGACCCCTTCAGAAGGAGTTTCTACCTCTGTGCCTGTGCCTGGTGGGGGTATCTGCCTGGAAACGGGAAAGTTAATGACAGTGACTGGTTGAGTGCTGGCCTCTCTTGTGGTAGTCCTTCTTGCCTGTGCCCTTCCTTCCTTCAGGTCTGGGAACCTGTGGCCATCCTGAAGCAGCCTGCTGCTGGGGGACATCTTTGGGGATGGCTTCCTCAGTGCAGGCCGAGGAGCCTTGCTGAGGCCCCTCCTAGATGGGGGAACCGCCCCAGCCCCAGGGGACACTGGTGGGGGAGCCCCCTGCACTCAAACTCCTCCATCTTGAACTTCTGCTTCTGTGGCTGCCTTCCCTGCACCCTCTGACCCACACAATCAGAGCGGGGCACAGACCCCAAAGACCATTCCTCACAGACCCCCTTTTCCAAAAGAGAGAAGTAAGGCCCGAGAAGCTGAGTGACCTGCCCACGGCCACTTGGCCAGGTGGTGTCGGAGCCAGGACAAGAGCTTGGGGCTTCCACTGCTGGTTGAGGGATCTGTCTGCCATAGAGCACGGCTCTAGGTGCCCCCAAATGCCTCCTGACCTGCCCGCCTGCACCTTTCCCGCCCCAATGCTTGCTCTGAGGCAAAGACCAGGCCAAGTCCCCACCCTGCCCTCCTGTCATCAGTGTCAGGGCACCATCTTCCAGCGACACATCTTCACTCCCTTTGCTTCCTAATTAATCTCAGACCCTGACACTCCCAGACCTCCAGGTCTAGGCATGGCTACAAGGCAGGGGTGAAACTCCGTCTGCAGCTCAGTTCCCCATGGAGCCTCCTCCCTCAGCAGAGAACCCACAGGGGACAAGACTGTCCCTAACACCTCCTCTGGAATCTGTCCTTTGCACATGGACACCCCCAAACACCCCAATATATTTTTTTTTTTTTTTTGAGACAGAGTCTCGCTCTGTCACCCAGGCTGGAGTGCAATGGCGTGATCTCTGCTCACTGCAAGCTCCATCTTCCAGGTTCATGCCATTCTCCTGCCTTAGCCTACCAAGTAGCTGGGATTACAGGCGCCTGCCATCATGCCCAGCCAATTTATTTTTTGTATATTTAGTAGAGATGGGATTTTAACATGTTAGCCAGGATGGTCTCCATTTCCTGACCTCGTGATCCACCCGCCTCAGCCTCCCAAAGTGCTGGGATTACAGGCATGAGCCACCGTGCCCAGCCACACTCCAATATATTCTTATCTGTGCTCCAGATTTGAGAAAGGCTGGGGAAAAGCACACCCTGTAAAACATGGCTTCCTTCATTGTCCCTCCCCCATCCCTACAAGACCATGTGTCTCCTCACTGCTTCTTCCAGGTGAGCTCCCAGGCCTGCCAGCTACCTGGAGCTGGAGCTGGAGCAGCCCCGGCATGTGGCGGGTATCACCACGGGCTCTGCCTCAAGTCTTGATACCCACGCAGAGGGAAAGGAGAATCTAAACAGCCCACCCAGATGGATGGCAGCCCAACCCCCAGCAGCTCAACATCAACACAGCCCAGAAGGGCGCCGAAGCCACAGCAGTCAGGACCGAGCGGGAGGAGGAGAAGTGGAGGAAAGGAAGGAAGGGCGGGGAGACGTCAAACACTGGGCAGGCGAGGGAGGCCGGCAAGGGTGGTAGAGGGTGAAAGAAAGCCCCGGGCCTAGAGTTCAGTCCCCAGTGAGAAAAAACCTGGAAGAGGCTTCAGAAAAAGGAGGTGAGCACAGACAGAGGCCTCTTGCTTTAGTTCTCCTGCTTTCCCTTTAAAAGCTGCCATCCTCAAATACCCAGCACCAGTGAGTTATACTTGAGTTAATCAGAAACTCTGAGCTGCATCCTGGCCTTGAACTTCAATGGGTTTGAAATTTATCACTTATAGGTCATTTTCAAGTGGATGCATGTATGAAATGCATTCTTTTAGGGGTCCTCTCACCTCCTCCCAAATGCAGCCCACCTCTTGTGCTTCCAAAGCCCTGGGAGCCCAAGCCACTCACCTGGGAACTGATAGCCATAGCTAGGAGCAAATCCGGGGTAGCCGCGGCCATAGGTCGCCACGAAGTTGGGGTATCCTTGAACACAAAGAGAAAGATCGGAGTCCTGTTAGTACAGCCGCCTCAGGTCTGGGGTAAAATCTCACGGAGGGTGGCAATGAGGAACAGCCTGAGTTATTTTCCTTCACAGAATAATTTGTCTCCCATGAGGGTTTTTTTTTATCAAGGGCCTGGGTCACCTCTCTCCCATGGCCGGAGGCGCTGCTGTCAGCTGTTGCTAATTAACCCGTATTTGGGCAGCCAGACCTTGCAAAGCCCATGTACTTTCCTGAACCTTCAGAGTAAATGCCATGCATCAGCACCAAACACAAGGCCTGCGCCTGGCTCTGACATTTGGAGAGCTTACCCTGCATGTACTTTACCTTAAAGCTATTGACAGTAGGAGATTAAAGTCCTTGTGATGCCTCCTCCCAAGGCAGTGGACAACAGAGCCAGCACCAGACAGAACATGGGAACTCAGGAGTCACAGTTTAGCAGCCAAACTCAGGGCTCACCCTGGGCCTCTGGAAAACGCTGGGCCTGATGAGCCACGGCCCACATTGCAGTTTTGACACTCCACGGAGGTGCCAGGATCTTTGGAGAACGGTGAGGGGCTGGGTGTGTTAAGATGCAAACCACAAAGTGTAGCTCAAACTCAGGAGCCCCGTGCGGTGTGACTGGATGGGCATTTCACAGCAAGCGTATTATTTCTAGACCCCTGTCTCAGCAGACAAGCTAGGGGGTGAGTGGTTCACTGAAAGACGCTTGCAGAAACTGCCACTGGGCTGGCCATTGGGCACACAAGAAACTCAGCTGGCAAGTCCAGGAGCCGGTGTGACCATCTCAGATCTGTCACTAACCCCCAGTGATGTGAGGTGTCATTTAGCTCATTGTGGCCGCTCAGGCCACTTCGTTCTTCACGTCCCTGCCTGATTCAGGCTAAATGAAGGCCACATGGGCCAGGCTCACTCTACCTCCCTCCACTCAGTATATGTGTAACCTCAGCGCATTCATGCTCTTAAGATGCCACCACGGCCACCCAACCACTGAGAACAAGACTTTCGCTTTGACCTTGGAGGTGAATGTCTGTGGTCGTTTTTTGGCTGCCCAGCGCCTGAGCCTCTCCCTGTGTGTGAGTCTTGGAGAGAGGCCCACCCCCCATCACAGAAGCTGAGACGGCCTCCCTCCCGCTCTTCCTGGGGTTGGAGGCTGAGAGGCAGGCCCCTGAACCTGGGCTCGACAGATGGAAGCCCTCCTTGGGATCTGCCTCTGGAGCTGGTAGGGCAGAGGAGGAGGGACTGGCTCTGAATTTATTCTGGTGTCAGCAGCAGAATCTGGCATCCAGTGTTGGCAACAGTGGCCCCCTGACCAGGTCATTCCTGAGTTGTCCCGTTGGCTAGGGCTGGGGCTCTGACCACCCAGCTCCCCCGGTTCCTGCCTGTTTTGAGTCCTGTTCTCCAGCCATCTGTCAATTCTCCAGCACTGCCCAAGCTCCTTCTAATAATCTCCTTGCTGCTTACAGCAGCCAGGGTTGTTTCTGTTGCTTGTGATCAAAACACTGGCAAACAATGACTTTGATGGCTAGACTTATGGCAGCCTCCAGGCTCTCCGGCAATTGAGGGCAGCAGTGACACTTTCCATGGCTGTCTCTGCCCTTCTACACACCCCCTTTAAAAACATCCCTACACACAGCTCTGGGGTCTTACCTGCTCAGTGGCTTCTCACACATCACACTGACCACTTTGTGACCCTGCAAGTGAGGGCTAACGGAAAAGGACCACTTACTAAATTCCACTTTGCCTGCACTCGGCAACAGGAGTCACAGTCTGCTTGTCATCCTGCTGCCTACTCAGAACTTTTGTGCCTCGGAGATGGGCTCCACCGTCCCTCACTTCCTGGTGGATGTTGGTGTTGTAGCCTCTGCCCTAGGATCTGTGGATCTGCCACCAGACCTAGAGCAGAAACTCGCGGGTCTGAAGTCAGGAGACCTGGGTTCTAGTCCTGCATCTGGCCCACAACCATGCCCTTGGGGGTTGTTATGATTTGATGTTTGTGTTTTCCCCCAATTTCTTTGTTGAAATCTTAACCCCCAAGGTTAAGGCCTTAGGAGGTGGGGCCTTTGGGGTGTGATGAGGCCATGAGGTGGAGCCCTCATGAATGTGCCCTTAACAAAGATGCCACAGAGAGACCCTCACCCCTTCCAACACGTGAGGACATGGTTAGAAGGGGCCATATATGAGGAAGCGGGCCCTCACCATACATGGAATCAGCCAGCGCCTTGATCGTTACTTCCCAGCCTCCAGAACTGTGAGAAATAAACGTTTGCTGTTCATAAGCCACCCAGTCTATGGTAATCTGTGACAGCAACACGACTTAACATAGGAGTCTTCCTTTTTCTCTTGGAGCTTAAGTCTTGTTACCTGTAGAAAGTCTTGCAACAGTGATGTGCCCAAATTCTCAAGTGAGATCAGCTGTGGCTCCTTTCTCTTGCTTCCCCCAGAACCTTCCCAAATTTGCAGTCACAGCTCACTCACTGGCCAATGGAACTATCTCTGCCTCCACAGGCTCTTGCCGCCTGCTCCTCCCCATGCGCTTATTTCCCAGCGCTTGGTGACTCACTGGCAGAAGCCTGCCCAAGCGAGGCAGAAGGACCCAGCAGCTCTGCACTGACTGCTAGCTAACGAGCAGGGGCCCAGTGGGATGCTGAGCTCAGGAACCCGATGGGGAAAGAAGGAAGGAAGAACGGCAAAGGCCAGGGCTCAGATGCCTTAAATGGACACATGCATACTGGCGCCTTCCTTCGTATTTATTTCGTGGCTGGGCAGCTCAGTTCTCCTCCAAATTAATCACCTGCTAGCAAATCAGATCTCATACTAGATTTCTTATACCATGATTTCAACAATATTGATAAACGGATTATATGCAAACAGCCAAGTCATGGCTGCCTAGGGGCTTTTCTGATGAAAAATGGCTCCTTTGCTTCTAACTTCAGAGCTGGGGGTCTTAAATATTTTAGTGTTAATCTGACAGCAAAAGCATAAGCCCATGTGTCACCTTCCCTCAGGAGGGTGGGAAGTGGCAGAACAGCCAGTTTCTCCCTGCACTTAAGCCACCAATACAATGCCATGACACCTGCTTTCTTCCCGGCTTTCCCCCAAGGCTCCAACAAGAAAGAAGAAAAGCATGGTCAGGTTCACCCCAACTTTGGGTCTCACCCCACTCTTCCTGGACACATCAATACTACAGTCTTCCAAACCACAAAGATGAGAATTCGGCATCTGCCAGAGTGGGGGATCTTATCTCCACCCCCCATCACCGAACATCCTCTAGGTCAGGCAGATGAAATCATAAATTTATAATACGACATTACTTCAATTTTCCTCTTCATTTACTGCTGTGCAGCCCAGCTCTGCTCGAATGGTTCACAGCCCCAGCCACACGGGGGAAATTGGCTGGCTGCATATCAATAGCACATTACAGCAGACCCGTGCAGACGCTCCATCAAGCCACATTACAGCGGGATGACCCAGCCACCACTTCCATTAGCAGCCAGGCCCCTCCCGCACTGGCCACTGCACAATTTATTTGCTCCAATACTCTGGACGCCTGATCAATCCCACAGTAATTATCTCTTGTCACTAAAGTCAAAAAAAAAAATCAAGGCTTCTGCCGGGGTGACCACCTCTCTCGCATATCGGCTTTCCATTGTAGAAGCAAAATACAGAAATCAACAATAGAATTTGGATTTGCCAGTAAGCTCATTTTGAGTCCCCATTTTGGGGATGCTGACAAAGTTCTCAAAACTGTGGTTCTGGTTCTAGATCTTTGCTGCAACCCTAGAGATGTTTCCCTTCTAGACAGGTCCATGACTCATCCTCTCCTGGGCTCTGTTACTCAGCTACTCAGAGTCATGGAAAACGGCTCCCACCAGGCCCCAGACTTGAAAGAGACAAGAGACAGGGCTGTTTATCCAGGGAACTGCCAGAGTGTGACAGATCTGCTGCGATGTTTAGAGCACTGCCTGGGGCACCACATCGGCTCCATGAGGTCTGCAAACAGACTAAACACCAAGTGCCAAGAGTCCTTCCTAGGCAAGGATGTGAAGGAAAGTCTACAAAGATGCTTTGCCCCCAGAATCACTCTGAGTTGCAGGGGCTCCTCCAGACCTGCGCTGTCCAATGTAAATTTAATTAAAATTATCTAAAACGAAAGCTTCAACTCCTCAGTCGCAAAAGCCGCAACTCAAGGGCTCAGCAGCTACCGTGCACAGGCGGGCAGTGATATTGGCCAGTGCAGACAGGACCCTCCCTCCCTTGCAGGAAGTTCTATTGGGCTGCACGGCTCTACAGGGACAATGAAGAGCTGAATTCTGAGTTTCCTCTGTCCCTCAGGAAGCGGCTAAACAAAGGAACACTTCCTTGAGAATAACCTCAACAGATATTTTTGGGAAAGCCAGATCCCAGTCGAAATTGAGTCTAGATGTGTGGTTTTAAGTTGCAGCCAATCTCCAATCTTTTGATCTGTTAGTGAACGCCAGCAGATCACAGCTTCCTAGTCCCTGTTCTCAATGATACTTTATTCATTTTTTGCCCGCATTTCAGAGGGGCTTAATGTCAGGGAACACTGAGTCAGGACTTCACGGGGGGCTTCTCACTACGACTGCACCTAAGAATGCTTTTGGCTAATGTGCTTTAGCTGATCATCAGCATCTCTCTGTTTCTGAGCTGACAGGGTGAAGCTTTTCTTTAAGGGCTCAGCAATGTGCTATTTCTCCAACACTCGTATCAGCATGTTAAATAAACAGCATGTGCCCGATGAGGCCAAGAAAGTTAAAGGCAGTGGGATTATGTGGCTGAGGGCAGAGAAGGCTCAGAGAAACCAAATATATCAACAGTCATCATGTGTTTGCTTTTATTAAGTTCACCTTCATTAAGAAAAATGAAAGAGATTCTATCACATTGAGCTGGGTAACTGTGGGCACCTCTTGGTGCTGCAAGACTGTGCCACAAAGTCTGAGGGGCTGCAAAAGACCTTTTCTG